ATGTCCTGCTAAGGACTGCTCTGCAAACCCTCTACACCCCGACCTCTTATCTGTGGCATCCATTAATTGACTTCTCTCTCATGTCTTCCACTCATAGGCCCCTTCAGCATGCTCATCCCATGGCATGGTAAGTTCCAGCATGACCACACTCTCTGCGACCAGGACCATATCAGGTCTGAGTATTATCTTGGCAATGTGCTGAGGGAACTGGAGTTGCCTGCCCAAGTCTACCATCCTTTGCCAATCCTGTGCCATGCTGAGAAGCCCTAATGGTGCTTTGGGTAACTTTGGACAGGTACTCTGGATTTCCTTGAGGGATCCCCTTCCATGGCAAAGAAGGCACTCTGGTGCCTCCACTAGGCCTCAGCAGTTCATGTTGGATGGACTGGTAACGACATCAGAAACTGCCTGGACCAGGAACTCGATGTGGTGTGGTCCTGCCCACCAGAGATCTGACCATGAAACCTTGCTCTCAAGAACCTGATGCCTCAGTGTCTCATCCCTACTGCCCGGTGGGATCTCTCCTCCAGAACAGCTGCTCTCCCCTCCCCTGCCCTCCCCAGGACTAGTAGCTGATGCTCTGTGCCCTGGACCTTATCATAATGCGGGGGGGTTGTGGAGGTTCTTAGTCTTGCTCTTCCTCTGGTAACTGCCCCTACCAGATCTCAGTTACCTGCAACACCTATATAGCTTTTATTAATAAATGTCCTTCATCCTGAGTCAGTTTGTTGTTAGGGCTGACATTCCCTTTAGCATTTTGCACAGAGGAATAATAACCATCTGGCCTTTTCTTAGGCCTAAATCCTGTTGCGATGGTGAAAGTTATCAATTTCATTGCATAGCCTCTGCTTGACTAGCTTATGCTACAATTATATGTACTTATGAATACAGTAGGCGGCTGATAAACTAGCATTTATGGGGGGGTGTCTAATTATCAAAAACCTGAGATACAACATTTCTTGTAGTTATTTTCCACCCTAAATAACTGAATTTGTTACATATTATATGCCCACAATTAATACCCCAGTAAATGTGATATTGTCCATCCTGTCACATAATTTCTGATAATTCTTATTTAAATAATTTTAGTAATACATTACATTGCAAATATGTGAATTAATTTTGTACAGATTATAATTGGTGATTCTCCTCGTGTCGCACAGTGAATACAATGTCTATCAAGTCATGGTCTAGCTAGACAAGAGCAAAAAAGAGGATGTGAGATGGGGATCTAAGCTTCATGTTACCCGGAAACCCATTTGTGTTGTATACGACTGACTAAGCTTGGTCCCTGTCTGGCAGGATTGTATCTCTGTAGGTCTAAGACTTATGTTATTCAGAAGCCATGCTGAGATCCTGCTAGCTAACTCACACAATGTCAACTAATAATAAACAACACATTTTCTACTACTGTGGCATCACTTAACCATGACAGGGGTCAGTGGTTCAGGTTTTGTAGTGAGGAGGGGCTGGAAAGTTAACAATGGAATGAGTTCCCACGCACATATATGCACAAAAGTAACTTTTAATGCACAAATTATTTCATTTTGGTGTTGAGACTCCCCCATGTAATGTTAGTAATGTGTCGGTTCCACCCAACCAAAAAAATAATCATCCGGTGAGAACAACTAAGACACATTGTGACAGAAATGGTGACATGTCTGCTGAACAATGCTTGGAGAATTTATTCTTTCACCACCCTGCCCTCCTTCCCCCATGTAGCAGCCTGCTACTGGCACTGATGAGATCGCTCAGACTAATCAGATGTTTTGGCACTGGCCCTGGTGATAATTACTGTTGTTTTTTTGCATGTTGCATGTTATCCACACTAACACACCCTAAAACAAGTCCATACAGGTAACCATATATAGGAATCGTTGTGAGATATTTTAGATCTGTCCAATATGAAAAATATACAGTACCCACGATTATTCAGAAGGGAATTCTCGAAAGATTATACCCACGATTATTCAGTAGGGAATACTCGAAAGATTATACCACGATTATTCAGAAGGGAATACTCGAAAGATTATACCCACGATTATTCAGTAGGGAATACTCAAAAGATTATACCCACGATTATTCAGTAGGGAATACTCAAAAGATTATACCCACGATTATTCAGAAGGGAATACTCGAAAGATTATACCCACGATTATTCAGAAGGGAATACTCGAAAGATTATACCCACGATTATTCAGNTATACCCACGATTATTCAGAAGGGAATACTCGAAAGATTATACCCACGATTATTCAGAAGGGAATACTCGAAAGATTATACCCACGATTATTCAGTAGGGAATACTCGAAAGATTATACCCACGATTATTCAGTAGGGAATACTCGAAAGATTATACCCACAATTATTCAGTAGGGAATACTCAAAAAATAAAGTGACAGGCAAGTCATCAATTTCTCCTGTGTTTTCCCTATTGGTACAGTATATGAGACTGAGCCCAGATCCATGTGTGCGTGATTCCCCTGCTGATGCAGAAACCGGTCTTAAGTTTTTGTTCCGCTTCCTGCTTTTGCTATGTCTTTCTACATTCACGCCCCCCACACAAAAAGTTCCTGTTCCTTCATCTCATCCATGTGTTAATCCCTACTTTTTGTCATACCTCTAATTGTCAGATCCTTGTTTTTTGTTGCGATATCTACACGTGCTTGATCATGCAACATACACGATTGCATTTTAACTATTCATATCTTTAAATTACCCTCATCAACATGGCAGTTGTCACGCTGGAGTTTCCTTCATTGTAGGACTTTGATGTTGCTCCAGTTCCCACAAGATTCTTTCTGCCTCTTGCCCTGTCTGTAACTCGTTGTTGCTCTGTTTGGACACTGGGCTAGTTTCTAGCTGTGCAGGTGATTTTGCCAGGTGTGCTTTCAGAGTGGAATGCAGTGTTGGCATGGAGATACTGAAAAGATGGTAGAAGAAGTGAAAGAAGTGACAGGTCCCATAAACTCCTCTGGCTTTTGATCTAGCAATACCAATGGCACAATTCTTAAGTATTCATACTCTTTTATTATAAAGAAAGACTGCATAATCCATGCATCATCCAATACCTTATCAAGAACTTTGAGTCTGTTCCAGAAACACAGAACAACTGAAAACCATGGAGAGGATGCCAGTCCATCGCAGGGCACACACGCATTACGGCCATTTTAGATAGGGTGACCGGGTACTCCATGTCAGGGAGAACATTTTAGGATTGCAGGAGCAAACCAGAGTACCATTCCATCCATCCATCCATCCATATCTGCTTATCCAGTACATGTTCATGTGAAATCGCCTTAATAATTTTAATGTTTTAATGTAGTTATAAATCCAATATAAAAACGTGCAAATATGGTAGAGATTTGATTTGTGATGTAAATAGGAACAGATACTTCTCGTTTTGCCTCTTACAGAAGGAAGTACTGGATTTTTTGATGAAATTTCCACTTGGTCATTTCTCACGGTCTACAAAGAAGTAATCAATCCCCTGATGATTTAAAAAATATTTCTGATCTGTTTTGTTCTTTATTAAGCAACATACCTCAAGTCTTAGTGTACAGTACACAGGAACGTCTGCTTTCTATGAATTTAAAGCAGTAGTTTCTGTTTTTTTCCTAGGTGACTATGTATATTTAACCAGTTTTGCCCTCCTTTGTTGTGAATTTTAATGTCATTTATTTCCCTGTTCCTTGAGTTGTTTCCAGGACAGGCTCTGGATCCCCGTGACCCAGAAATGGACAAACAGTACTGAATATGAATGAATGAATACCTTCCCCGTTAAAATATTCACCATGGATTAAATGCGTGTTCATTTGGTTCCCATCCAACATACCACAGTCAAGGACAGCTCATACAAGGAAATGGAGGAATGTCATGGACACCGATCAAAACAAAACTATAGTTTTGGTGCAATATATAGCATCAATATCCACCATAAGAAAGCATACCTACTGCTGACTGTCAGACACATCTGCCCAGTGATCTGAAAGATTGCTGTTCACAGCTTCTTCTGTCCCGTTTGAGTCACTTTAAGCTGTTATTACTTGTCTTACTGTACCATAACACTTTCTTGAAATAAGAGGTGGTTTTTGATCAATTAAACTCTCAGAAAAAAATTATGTATAGATAAAGTAGGACTGCACTTAACCCTAACAATAAAAAAAATATTTTTAAATGTGGTTCATGTCTCCACACTAAAATTACATATTATATAGGGGAAATTCCCCAATCACTCCAATATAATTCTACAAAGACAAGGAAATAGCTGAAATTCTAAGTGGTTGGTGCTTTTGCTAAAAATAAACTTCAACATGAATATATGACTGTGATGGGCTGGCGCCCCACCCTGGGTTGTGTCCTGCTTTGGAGCCATGGCCCCCAGGATAGGCTCCAGACCCCCCCGTGACCCTGAATAGGATAAGCGGTTTCGGAAGATGAATGGCTGGATGGATGGATGAATATATGAGAGGAGTTAGACAGTATTGAAATCGAATAGTACGATAGATTTACTTTAACAGTCATTGAGAACATTAATTACACAGACTGAAAAAGACTATTAACAAACGGTATGGTGGAGGTGGCAAGCACTGTCACCTCCCATCTCTGAAGTTAGAGTCTCCATCCTGGCTCCACATGTGTGGAGTTTTCATGTTCTCCCTGTGTCGTCCAAAAACATGCTAACGTCAATTGGAGTTACCAAACTGTCCAAAGTTATAAGTGTGTCCGTCCTGCAGTGGTTTAGTGCTGTGTCCTGGGTTACTTACGGGAGCCTGACCAGAGGTTAGAATAAATATAATATATTGCTTTTATATTCTTTAATATTTCTTTTCATACAAACATTCACTTCATAAAAACATATACTTGACAACTCATTTACAGAACACTTGAAAAATATGTGTGTTTAAAGAATGAGTTGGAGGGATAGAGGAGGAACGGAGAGAGACAGAGCGAGAGAGTGAGAGAGAAAACAGGAAGCCCAAGGCTTACGCAAGAGAGAGAGAGAGAGAGAGAGAAAAAGAGAGAGAGAAAGGAGTAGAGGTGGTAACAGAGATCAGCGTTCATACATTGCCAAGGTCCAACAGCAAGGAAACATGCACAATGTTAGGTTTACGGCACAATAGAACAGAGGCTGTTTAAGTTTACTTCAAGTAGCCTGTAACCTCATCTTTAAATCTGGCTTTTCTGGACCCTTGCTTGGATAATTTAACATTGTCCGCTGCAGTTCGTGTTTCTTCCTCAAACTTTCAGACAGAAGACCATCTTAGTGCGGGGATTCTCTCACTGATAGAAGGATAATGTTCATTTTCTAATTAAAGATGGATTACCTGTATTCACTTTATACTGTGTTGTTTTTGACTGGGTTTTGTGGCTACACAAAAGGTAAGATAAAAAATTGCTTAAATTTGACTTTGCTGATTTTGATAAAGTACTTGCATAACCTCAAGGTGTGCTTAGGGTCGTTTTCTTGTTAACAGAGCAACATAGTTGGCAGTGGTGGCTTAATGGTCAGGGACGTACACTTGTAATTTAAAGATTGTAGGTTTGAATCCCCAACCAGCAAGGCACTGCTCCCTGGGGGCTGAATTAGCTACTATGTCACATATGGGTTAAATGCAGAGAACACATTTTGTTGTTGTGTGTCAACAATGACAATTAATCACTAAATTCATAGTTAAGTTAGGCTGTAAGGTCTCTTTACATGCTGAAATGCTTCAGATACTTATAATTCATATAACTTTTTTCTCAATCATTATATACTGATTGGGAATGAAGTAATTTGGTTTGTGTTTTATAAATTAATAAAAAATGATTGAGTCAATACAGTATCTAGATCCCTATACAGTGTGTCATTTACACATTTAAATTTTATCAGACTTTTCTTCTGAGGTCTGTAACGAAACTAACGCTGGAAAGTACAGCAGCGGAGGTTCCTCTTTTGGTAAATAAAGAGACTTTATACCAATTTGTGTTCTGGTGAAAAAGAAGCTTTTCATTCTAGGAAAAATAAAACAATGTTTTATTTTGAGGCATAATTTCTACAGCTTTCAGCCATCACTGTTAGTCAGCATGACAAATTTGGGGTGTGATTTTTTTTGTTGTTGATGGTTTCATCATGTAACGGAAAACACCATGAGAAATTCCGGCATTGGGAATATGGGATGTTTCAAATCTAACTGCATTTTGTTTTCACAAATGTTGTAAGTGAGAGAGATGTTTTGCTTGTATTCTACATTGCAAGCATAGAAATATCAATTAAAGGACTGCAATGCATCTAAGAATTGGAATAGTTTTCTCAACAGACTTAACTACAAATCTTTAACTAATGATATGTTATATTAATAAACTAAAACTGGGAACTTATGTGGGTGACATGGTGCCGTGCAAAGCACTGGCAGCGTATTTAGAGTGTACCTGTGTCCTGCTTGCGACAAGTCCCCATGTGACACTGATCTGGATAAGTGATTGGAAGATGGGTGATACTCTGAAAATGTATCACACATTTATGAAGTTATAACTAGTAGGTCTCTGAACATAACACTTTAATTAGTGCTGAACAACATTTAGCAAGGAATTGCAAACCACAACCAATAGTCTGCTAATGCTTTTCTCCATAAGTAAATTCATACAGTTTTAATGAGTGTTGTCATGATGACTCCACAAGGTAATATTGATGCAAAGTGATGCGTGTTTTGCCTGTTCTGCATTAATGTGTCAACCTTTTCTTACACCCAGGTGTGAATTCCAACGAGAGTTTAAATATTTCTGTGTCCATATGGGACGGGAAGGTGACCCTTCACTGGAAAGCCCCAGAATGGGTTCCACCTTCCTCTGATTATGACATTGAGATGACACCGTAAGTTGATTTGCTCTGACTGCCCAAGACTAGCTAAACAGGACTGGAAATGAAAATATTAGCATCCTCAGTGTATGTTTTTTTATGAAATTCTACTTTAATGAAGACCAAACTCAATCTTGTAGGATTTGGGATAATCAGAGTTTGTGACAGCCTATCAGTCATCATATTCAAAGCAAATTATATAAAAGTTATTTATCACAAGCACCTTGACAGAATGTTTTTTCATTTGCATGTCAATAAATGCTGAAATACATACAAATCCATAACAACAGAAACATAACAATCATCAAAATTCATGACAAATACCCATGACAACATGGATAGTGCATTATAATAGCAAGTACAGTTTGAGATCTTTAAGCAAAGTAATACCCATGTTCCTGAGGAAAATCAACAGTAAAGATTGAGCAGGCTGGTTTATAAGTGATATTTTTGAAGAAAACTGAACTGAATGAAAATAATATAACTGTAATAATCTATTAACCAATTTCCTTGTGGTTTACATATCAACTGAATGTCCGCTGAGATAAATTGCAGTGAAGCCTCAGACTTGGTGTATGAAGACTTGGTACAAGTAAAGATAATATATTTACAGCTTAAGGCACGGAAATGCAAACTGGATGGCTGTTCACCACTGCAACTTAACCCTGGTGTCCTGTGACCTCTCTGACGTCGTCAATGAGACAACCCATAGATACCGGGTCCGGGTTCGAGTCGTCACTGGGCAGAACAACTCAACCTGGTCTAGGATCATAATTAATCTCAGAGATAGTAAGCTCACCGCCGATGTATATCTGTGTTTGTTTCCATTCCTGTTACTCCTATAACAGTCCAGTTAATGGTCAACATCCTATCTTGCTTTCCATTGTACAATTTGCCCGTTTGATGTTACTGATAATTTGCCAAACAAATTAAGTACCAGTAATAACTACACATACAGCATGTGTGTGAGCGATGTGGTGGCTCTGAGCAGACACACGCCTCCAGGGTAACGGGTTCACTTGCACGTTCCTCCTGCATTTCCTCCCACTGACAAATGGTCATGTGAATTTGGGCCACTGAATTGCCCATAGGGTGAGTGTGTGCTCTGCCAGGGATGAGCTCCAGGTTCACTTTGACAGAAAACTGATGAGCGTGCATTAATGTACATATACAGGCCGTCCTCAAGTTAAGAACATCTGACTTACGAACAACTCATACTTAATCCACCATAAATCCTATTATATTAGACATTTGAGTTAAATACAGTGGTTCATAATAACAAATGTACGCACCACTTTGTGATGCTCATGCACACATTGCACGGCTTCAGTGGTTTGACGGCTTCACATACAGTACAGAACCGTACAGTATGTAGTTACTATATTATTACTGTATTATTGTTATTCCGACATACCAATAAATTTGATTTAAAGTGAACCTATGGAACAGATCTCATTCGCAACACCATATATACAGCAATTACAAAACATAAAATGTAATGTACGGAGGAGTCTGTACTGCTGTCACTCAATGATACCCATTCACTTTCCACAGACACTCACAGAAAGTCTTGAGACACTTGCATAAATTAGCTATATAAAAATATAGCTAATTTATTGGTTTTATAGCAAAACTCATTACGTCATTATTTCTTTTACAAAAAAGTATATAGTATATATCATATTAGGAACAATCAGTAGTTTGAAAGTGAATGAAAGAAGTGAAACATTAATTTCAAGTAGTAACAAATTAAAACCCAAATTATAGTTCTAAAAACCTGTTCTGAGATAAAAGTTTCATTGATGAGCAGTCTCATTGGGTGATTTTTAATTAGTAACAGCTTTGCGATGACATAAAACACCAAACATTTGCGTTTAGTATCGCTTTGGGAGCCAATTCCAATTAATAGCAAACAGGCAAGAACAGAACTGAATGAGTCAGTCAAATTACGAAACTTAAAGTGAAATGTCTGTGAGGAAGATATATTAAGCATTGCTTGGCAATAGACTTTTGTTATGAAACCTATAAATTTACATTTTTACCTAATTAATGCATCCCAAGACTTTCTGTGAGCACTGTATGTGTTCCATCGCCACTAACTCAATAACTGCTGGACAGGGATTGTCAGAAATGTCACTCTGCTTACCAAAGATCATTGTATTTATGACTCATTCTTTTTATTTTACTAGCAGTTCCACTACCTACCCCTACGTTGTAGGCGCTTTACCAGACTTATCCTTGTGCCCTTCTATCTCCTAGGTAAGCTCCTGCCCCCAGTCTTCTCCCTTTCTGGTAATTCGTCTTCAATGAATGTTAGAATACACACCAAACCCATCCTGAAAAAGATCTTCAAGTATGGCCTCAACTATTACATCTACCTGCAAGAAAAGGGAAATGACAAGGTACCGTCACCCATAAGTCCTCACAGAAGATGATATATTGCGATACACAGAGTTGGACCTTCTTTCAAGGGGAAAATGACAATATTAATTAATATGACATAAGTAAAAAAATACAGTGAGTCACAGGGCTGGACTGGGATTATATTTTGGCCCTTGACTTTGGTGTTTCCTTTGGCTCCATGGTAAATTTTGCCGAGTGGGGGGTCCCCATGATGAATTATCTCGAGCTAGGGTGTGGGGGCACATTTCCATGGCTGGTGTGCCAGATGGCCAGTCCAGCCCTGCTGAGTGTCTACATTGGTGATTTTTCTGTGTCTAACTGTGCCCTGCTGGACCGGCAGATCATGCAGAACATAACATGGAATTCCGAGGAGCAGATACCAGAGGTGAGCTTCAGCTTGCTGCAGTGGGGGCGAGAGTACTGCGTCCGTCTGCGCGTCGAGGACAGAGCAGGGATAGCCGCCAGTGAGGCATCCGAGGAGCAGTGTCTCATGCTGCCACTCCCAGGTACGACACCAGCCACTGCTTTGTTCACTAATCTTACATGACTTTCATTCATTTACTCTTTTGTCACATGGTTCTGGCCTCATATTTTATGTGGGTGATAAAAGCCTGTTGCAGTCATTGAAAACGTATGTCATTGAATACATGTGTATGTAAAGCTCTTTTTCCTCCTGGCAGAGTGGTACCCGTTTTTGGTACCAACCATTCTCATTTGCATCGTGGCAGTTGTATTTCTGGTGGCCCGATTTCTACACTGCTTCTTGAGGGAGCCAGAGAAATTACCCATCACACTGGTAAGCTTTGCCTACAATAATCACTGCAACCACTATAACAGAATTAACCACAGTTTATTAATTACATATACAATGATGAGCTAAAACATTATGATCTCTTACCCAGGAAGGGAATAACGTCAACTATCACTGAAGGTTTCTTTATTCTCTTTACATAGGCTGGTCATAGCTTGGGCAATCAGTGAATATACATATATATATAAAAAAAAAACTCATTCATACAACTTCCAACTACGTATACAGTTCAGAGTCCATAGTGAGGAGTTCACCCTGGATGGGCACAGGGTGAACACAGCCACACAATTTAAAAATGCAAATTCATCTAACTGTACATCTTTGTGTTGTTGGAGGAATGTGGAATTCCCAGAGAAAACACAGCAGAAACATGCAAACTGCACACAAGGATGTGTGGGATGACAGTGTGATGCGAAATTTACTATATCTGTATAGAAGGTGATATATTCTTTGAAAAAGGAAAGCGTTAATAGAATGAACTGAGGGGAAACCTGGTGACTGAAGTGTACTAATATGAAGGCCTTTACGCACAAATTCCACGAAAACGGGGAAATACAGTGTATCTTGTAAAAGCTGAACTCTGAACAACAGCGCTAAAAGAATCACAAAAGTCATTCTCAATCTCGATCTCATTTACATCGTTAAAAAAAGAGCCATTTCCGCTTCTCACATTTTACCAAATTTTCTCTGGTTTCACTGGTTCTTTACGTGATTGTATTTAAGAAGCATTACTTTCCTCTTTCAGAAATCCCCTGGAACTGGATGGCGACCACTCACCGTGAGAGAAGTTTCAGTCGAGATCGTGACCGATAAAGGGTTTCTCCTGGTAAGCCGAAAATCCGAAGAGAAAACCAAGAAAGTGACGGAGCTGATGACAGCGGAGGAGAGCGAGGAGAGGAGGGATAGCATGGATAGTGGGGTGAGCATGGGCCAGCATTCCTCGGAGATGGACAGAGAGGCGAGGCAAGACACTGTGAGACGACAGAAGGAAGACAGCGGTTGTGGGAGTCTGGATGATGCTGATGGCAGCGCTGGCAGGAGGGGATTGGAGGACCTCTCCGTACTACAAAACAAGAACGAGAATGGAAGCTGTGCTCCACACCAGCCTGACAGTGTGGCATCTCAGTACAGTGACGCCAGCAATCTGGACGCTGATGATTCTGGCCTGACGCCTGAGCATCTAGTGCCTCTGCTCACCCAGAAACTGACTCAAGGATCCTCTGAAGTCCAGGCTGGGGATCAAGGGCAGGCAGAAGGAGCAATTCAGAGTGACATGGACAACTGCGTAGCTGTCAGTGTCGGGTATAGGCCCAGCCAGCTGGCGTGTGTTTGTTCAGGCCAAGGTCAATGCCTTTGGTGCCGTGTAGGAGGAGGACAGCAGCAGACTGAACATGACAGCCAACCTGTGACACATAAACGTAACTCCTCAACCCTCTTTATCCAAGAGGAAGACCTCAAAATGACTGTTCCCCAATCCACGGCACTGCTAGAGCAAGCAGATTTGTCATTCCTCACGCTCTCGCTCCCCAAAGACTCCACCGAAGTTTCCCCTCTTCTTATATCCATGCCACAGCTAAGCATGTTGGACAATGGACTTGAGTTTACACCCAACGTCATGCCCGTTTCAATTTATGACATGGGTCTGACCTTTGGGTAGCAAGCTGCTGCCACATGCCGGGTTTAGCTACTTTATTTATTTATTTTTCTGTTCTTATTTTATTTTCAATATCAAAGTGGCCAGTACTTGTAAGAAAGCTGGTGTCCATGTCTCATGCACGAACACGGAGCTGCAGGCGACGAGACAGTCACGCATTTGCAGTTTCCACAGCATCATTTTGTTGTATTACTCAGCCGAATGTCTGTGTCGAATGTGATCGCTGAAAGAGGTGGAGGTTGTGTGGGATGGGGGGGGGGGGGGGGGGGGGGGGGGGGTTGGCTTATCAGCATCACCCCTTCCCCTCTGCCTTACTAATTCTGAGAGGCGGAAGTGTGTTAATGGTGAGATGTAGGAAGAGTTAGACACTCGCCAATGAAAACGGCGGCTACTAATAAAACGTGTGACAGCTTCTGCGAACTGCACTGTACTCGTGACCACTTTTGCATGTAAATATAATATATTTTTTAATCCGACACAGTGTTTGTCTGTAAAACTCTTTTCAGCCGGTGAGGTTTTTAGTCACCAGATCACTGAGTCACATATTTTGTTTTTCAGTTTTCAAGACAAATTGTATCGTATGTGCAGAGATGTGAAAATCAGCTTTTGTCGCTGCGGGAAAGCCATCCCTATCTGAGTCATATGCCAGAAGGTGCTGCATTGGATAGTATTGCAAATGTCAGGTGTCCGAATGCTGTCTAATGTGCATATGTGCATGTCATTATCTCATCGGCGAATGGCGAACATGCTTAACTTGTGTGTTCGAGAAGCTGCTTATCAGGCCTGATGCAACAAAGAACTGAAAAAAATGTGTGTTCTCTTAAAATGAGAGGACTAACCATAGGAAATTGAAGCTTTAGCCTATAAACTCCTACATTTCTTGGTGAAATGATTTCATTTTCGAGCCATAAATATATTTAACAATGTGTGTGGAAGTGCCTACATTGGAATCTCATTTCTGTGAAATGGCTAGTTTCATGCTGATACCATTCAATTAGTTTCTAACACATGACACTGACTCACTTCCCTTTATAAACATTTTTGTTTCTGTTGCATCTAAACCCACATTGTGTTTTTTATATATATGACTCTTGTCATGCTGTTTGCATGTATTATTGTACTTGTGTACTTTCCAAGTACTTCATGTACTTGTTCAGATTATGAAAAGGACAAATACATGTAAAACACAAATTGTCATAATAAAAAATGCGCAAAACATAAAATGATCAGTATTTCTTCTGTGATGCATCTTATATATCAGGGCTTTTCAAATCTGGCCCTCGATTCCAAATCCAGGCCTTGTTTTCAGTTTTCCCAGGTAGTTAGTTTATTAATTACTGATTGGTCAGAGGCTTCACACCTGGCTCACAGGCAAAGGAAGGCTGGAAAATCAGCAGTGCTCAGACCTTGAGGACCGTGGTTTAAATAGCCCTGCAATATATTATAGTCAACATGTCAACCGTAACCAAACCAAAACAATTCTGCTCAGTCTGCACACCTTGTTCCTGACTGTTAGATTTTTTTCAGAAACAATTGCCTCTCACCATTATATCATGGAAGAGAAGGTATGAACAGAGGAGGTCAAAGCCCATGTAGCACCCTAGGCAAGCTTTACTGCCGCCCACCAGAAATGTTCATCCCCTTCATCTATCCATCCATCTTCTCTAAGCTCTTTTCCAATACAGGATTGGGGTAGGCCTCTACCGTATCACAAAAAACAGAGGGCACAAATGGGCAGAGGGCAGGCGACAAGGTGGTGCTTCATGACAGGCCTACTGGTTGTATTTGGTCGTTCTGTTTCTCAACACAATAATTTTTGTGGTGTTTTTAATTCATTGATCATGTACATAATCAAGGATAATTAATGATGCAGCTGTTCTATGTTTCCTGAAGCTCCAGGTTCAGACTGACCCATATACTTTTTAACAAAACAAAAATACTGCTATTCATATGCTGACACAAAACATTAGACTTCAGACATTTGTCATGAATATATCGTAAAGAACTTTTGACCCTTATCTTAACACTTCCTCCTTAAGTCATTCATTCACAGGGACAGATCATGAGGAATACAGAAACACATCCTGTCTTCCATCAAAAGGAACGAAAAAGACATTTGAACATTTCCAGCAAACCTGTAAAACGGTTTCTGAATCCTGTGAATTTAACGTCGATTTCTTTTTTTTTTTTCTTTTCGATTTCTTTTAACAATCCCTAAACATCACAGGCCGACAGCGTTTCTAGAATTGGATGCGGTATGTGCCTGGGTGATTGTCTGCGTTCGACTGCATGCGAAAATAAGAGGCCGGGCTTCTGAACATCGCAAAGCCTCAAAACGGAAGGGACACTTTATAATATGCGACATTCAAATGACATTTACGTACTTCTTCCAATAAACACTGGGAGTTTCATGGAGCCTGGGCGGCATGATTCTACGTCAGTCACCATAAAAGCAACCACAGCACACTCTCTGGTCAGGTGGAGGAAGAATGGATACAATCTCCGACAGCACAGCCCTGAGAGCATCATCACACTCACGATATGTCATCAGAACAGATTCTTTCCAACAGCAATCAGGCTGGTTGCTAAGCACATTCAGGATAGAGAGGTGTGCCCCCACTCCCATCAGTCAAACTAGACTCAGACTCTTAAATCAACGCCCCCCCCCCTCCCCTCCAAGGGGAACCAAACAAGAATTCCAATGTATTTGTACTTCTGTACTTTATGTGTATATGGCAAATAAGGTTTCAGTCGAAATTGGCAGTAGGTTAATGTGTTAAGTCGGTGCCTCGTTGGGTGCATTAAGGCTTCATGGAACATGGGCAGAAAGCTTTGCCAGATAGCAGTTTTCTTATTGTAAGATGATGAAGAGGAATGTTTACTGCATGGGACTGCATTTGCATCTGCACATGATGATGCTAGTGCCAATGCAGAGACTCCAAAAAGCGAGCATGTGGATAAGATCTGAGTTATATACTTCGCCGATTGCAGATGGGAGTGTTGGCCTTATCTCAACCGCAGTGAGGGACTGGCCCATCCACTGACTCACGGGCTGAAAGCGGGCCACAGCTGATCGCTGTGACCCAAAAGAAACCAGGCAAGGGAATCAGAGCGCGACGCACGCTGGCCTGAGCGGGAAAACACGGCGGGGGCGGAGGCAGGTAAAACCCAAGTCTGAGCCTAGGCTACCACGCGGTCAAAAATAATGGAAAAGCATGACACGGCAAAGATGCACGTCCGGGGACGCCCACATGCAAATAGGTTGCTGCGCAGAGGAAACCTTTACCTGATCACCATGTTTCTCTTTCAGATAGAAAAAACAACAACATCCTCTTTCATTTACATAAGGAAATTCCAACAAACATGCTTAAAGCCCTACATGAAAAACACTTTAGTTGCACGGCCTACATGTGCTAGTTAATTTGGCACATTAAGCAGATTTACACTTGTAAACACGCATAAAGTGAGTAAAAATGACTAAAAATTCACTCACTATCTTCAAAAAATAAACACATATTACAAAGTGGGACACTACAGCTTTCTCATGACACATGGGAAGACATTGTTACAGAAACCAGAAACTCGCAAGTGGGGATTTGCGGTGTTTATTTTACAAGCTGAATTGGAATTTCAAAATCATAGTCCAGGGTCAAGGAAAGGTAGGGCAATGAGGATAATCCAAAATCGTGAAACAGTTAATTAAGCCAAAGAGCCATAAATTAGAAAATCAGGAATCAAATCAAAAGCTCAGGATTCAACTACAAAGAGAATCGAGTCTTTGCATTGCAACAGGTTTAAGTCCATGCTGGTTAATAGCATACACATGTGAGTAACCAGGGCGCCGAATGGATCAATTGGTATTCTGGCAGGGGGATTGCTGGTGAGATTTTGGAGGTGGCGAGATAAGATTCCACATAAGATTCCATAAGGCTGCACCATGCAGTCTACCACCCATACATTTTCTAATGGCTTATCCATGGCTGGATCTTCCACATGGGCAACCCTGGCGCATACCCCGGGGCCCTCTACTGAGGGGGTTAGGGTTAGGGTTAGGGTTAGTTAAATTCATGATGAATGCCATAATCAACCTATCAAATATTGGCGGACGCTCACAGCCACTCTCTCATGTGGTCGATAGCATTTGCAGAGTCAAAATGGATCTTACTAGAATCCATGAGCCCAGTGTGGCACCCAAAAAGAAAGAAAAGAAGCAAGAGGCACTGAATTGCTTAGAAATGTGCCAGAAATAAGCATTTTTCCAAAAATCAAATCAAGACCATATAAACAAATATGGTGCCAGGTACATATCACACATACAGATATTAACAGTCAGAAATTAGAGAACAATTTAGCTGCCACTAATACCAAGCTAATGGGGTGAGGGATGCTTTATTGTGCTGATACCCAGGAGCCTATTAGAGGTCTTAATCCAGGCATAGCCTTATCCTGGTTGGGTGGCAAGGGGGGGCTTACAGCCAATCTCAGGTGACC